CTCAAAGAAACAACCTAATCTCGAAGCTCAAAGACCTAGAAAAAGAACAACAAAAAAAACCCAAAACCAGTAGAAGAAAAGAAATAATAAAAACCAAAGCAGAAATAAATGAAATCGAAACTTACAAAACAATCCAAAAGATCAATGAAACCAAGAGCTGGTTCTTTGAAAAAATAAATAAAATAGATAAACCCCTAGCCAGGCTCACAAGGGCAAAAAGGGAGAAAGCACAAATAAATAGGATAATAAATGAAAGAGGAGAAATCACAACGGACACAGCAGAAATCAAAAGAATAATTAATAACTACTATGAACAGTTATATGGAAACAAGTTCAACAATCTAGAGGAGATGAACAAATTCCTACAACTCTACAATCACCCAAAGCTAGATAAAGAAGAAATAGAACAAATAAACAGACCAATTACAAGCAGCGAAATTGAAATGGTAATCAAAAACCTCCCCAAAAACAAAAGCCCAGGACCTGATGGATTTACAAATGAATTCTACCAAACATTCAGAGACGAATTGGTGCCTATCCTTCACAAACTCTTCCAAAAAATTGAGAGGGAAGGTATAATACCTAACACGTTCTATGAAGCCAACATTACACTAATACCAAAACCGAACAAGGACAACACAAAAAAAGAAAACTATAGGCCAATCTCCCTAATGAACACTGATGCAAAAATCCTCAATAAAATTTTAGCTATCAGAATCCAACAGTGTATGCATAACATAATTCACCACGACCAAGTAGGATTCATTCCAGGGACACAGGATGGTTCAACATCCGAAAATCAATCAACGTTATCCAACACATCAACAAAATGAAATATAAAAACCATATGATAATATCAATAGATGCCGAGAAAGCTTTCGACAAAGTGCAACACCCATTCATGATAAAAGCCCTTGAAATTCTTGGGATACAAGGAACATAACTCAACATCATAAAGGCCATATACGACAAGCCAACAACCAGTATCATTCTCAATGGTGAAAAGCTGAAAGCATTTCCATTAAGATCTGGAACAAGACAAGGATGTCCACTCTCACCACTGCTTTTCAATATAATACTGGAAGTCCTAGCCAGAGCAATAAGACAAGAGAAAGGCATACAAGGAATCCAAATAGGAAAAGAAGAAGTCAAACTATCACTATTTGCAGATGATATGATAATATACATAGAGAACCCCAAAAACTCCATAGAAAAACTAATTGAACTCATCAATCAGTTCAGCAAAGTGGCAGGATACAAAACCAACATGCAAAAATCAGAAGCCTTCCTATACACTAACAATAAATCTGAAGAAGAAGAAATGAAAAAAATCATCCCCTTTATTATCGAAACAAAAAAAATCAAATACTTGGGAATAAATCTAACAAAAGAGGTAAAGGACTTTTACAAAGAAAACTATAAAACACTGTTAAAAGAAATAGAAGAAGATACAAAGAAATGGAAAGACATCCCCTGCTCATGGATAGGAAGAATAAACATTATTAAAATGGCCATCCTACCAAAAGCAATATACACATTCAATGCTATTCCAATAAAAATTTCAATGTTATTCTTCAAAGAAATAGAACAATTATTGATGAAATTCATATGGAATCACCAAAAACCCCGAATAGCCAAAGCTCTCCTGAAAAAAAAGAATGGAATGGAGGCATCACACGACCAGACTTCAAACTATACTACAAAGCCATAATCATCAAAACTGCATGGTATTGGAACAAGAACAGACACACAGACCAATGGAATCGAATAGAAAATCCAGAAATAAACCCACAGATTTATGGTCAACTAATCTTTGACAAAGGAGCAAAGACTATGCATTGGAGCAAAGAAAGTTTGTTCAATAAATGGTGCTGGGAAAACTGGGTCACTACATGCAAAAGAATGAAGCTTGACTACTACCTCATACCATGCACAAAAACCAACTCAAAATGGATTAAAGAACTAGACATAAGACCTGAAACCATAAAATACATAGAAGGAAATATAGGCGAAACACTACGTGATTTGCACATCAAAGACATCTTTACAGACACATCACCCAAAGCAGTGATAGTGAAGGCAAAGATAAACAGCTGGGACTACATCAAATTAAAGAGCTTCTGCACAGCAAAAGAGACAATAACAAAAACAAAGAGACACCCCACCAACTGGGAGAACATTTTTGCACACAACACTAATGATAAAGGATTGATCACAAAAATCTGCAAAGAGCTGATGAGACTCAACAACAACAAAGAAAATAATCCAGTCAAAAAATGGGCAGAAGAGCTAAAAAGAAACTTCTCTGAAGAGGAAATGCAAATGGCCACCAGGCATATGAAAAAATGTTCAACATCACTTGTAATCAGGGAAATGCAAATCAAAACTACCATGAGATACCATCTTACACCAGTGAGAATGGCACATATTAAAAAAACTAGCAACAACAAATGTTGGCGAGGGTGTGGAGAAAAAGGAACTCTTCTGCACTGTTGGTGGGAGTGCAAACTGGTCCAACCACTATGGAGAGCTGTGTGGAGATTTCTGGACCTACTAAACATAGAGCTTCCATATGATCCAGCAATTCCACTCCTAGGTATTTACACCCAAAGGACACAGAAACATCAATTCCAAAGAACACCTGCACCCCTATGTTTATAGCAGCACTATTTACAATAGCTAAGCTTTGGAAACAGCCCAAATGCCCAAAAATAGATGACTGGATCAAGAAGATGTGGTACATATATACCACGGAATATTACTCAGCATTCAAAAAAGATAAACACATGCAATTTGCAGCAACATGGATGGCGCTGGAAGGGATCATGCTCAGCGAAATAAGCCAGAAAGCAAAAGAAAAATACCGGATGGTCTCACTCATAGCAGGAATCTAGAAAACTTAAATAAGGGACCAGGAAAATGAATAACTATAAGAAAGTGAAAATCAAAATCAACAAAAATCTATGAACCAGAGACACTTTTGGGGGGGGGGTGGAGGGAGGGGAGGGATTGGGGTCAAAATGGAGGAGTTGAAATTGTATGGGGAATATAAAAATAAAATTTATTATAAAAAAAAATATTACTTGCTCCTTTAGTAATAAATACATTTTTGATTAAAAAAAAAAAAAAGATTGGGGGAAGCTGAGCAGAACACCCAAAACAGACCCAAAGCAAAAAAGAGCAAAGGCATCTGGGATCCAGTCCACCCGTTCCCCACCTGTTCAATCCCTGAAAGGACATCAGGCCTATACCAGAACACACACACACACACACTCACACTCTCTCTCTCTCTTTCTCTCTGTGTGTCAAAGAAACCTCAGAAATTTATACAAATTCATTCAGTCCTTCATTCATAAAACTGTCCAAGGCTCACATAACATTCTTTCCTATAGGAATCAGAGTGAAAAACAGATTAACTAAGCTCGGAGATATTTCATTAAATTTATCAAAATTAAAGTCTAATCATTTATTTATAAGAAGTCATTGCATGGAAAGAACAATCAGAAAACAAGATACTGTTTTGGGGGAAAAAAAAAAAAAAGATACCCAAAACGAAAAACTTCTATAGAGGACTAAATAACATTATGACTAAAAACCAAACTGCTTTTGTAGTTTGAGTTATAGCAAACTCTATGGTAGAAAATTATACCTCAATAAAGCTGTTATAAAATACAGCCCAATCCATCCGGCCTTACGAGGTGTAATTTTGAGGCTTGTTTCCCACATTGTTCTCCAGAGATTCTCCACGCTATCATGGAGGCAGCTGAGTTTTAACACATGTTCCTTACTGGCGGCCTTCCCTTCCCAAGCCACACGCTGCATTCTCCAAAAACCTACTTACATTAGAATCCTCATCTTAAAGCCTTTCACTGGATGAACCCAAACCCAGGGTAGGAAAAGTTTTTTAACTTCATAGTCTTCTGATAATTATGTTTATTTTAAAGAGCTGGAGTTGGTGCCAGGATTAAGATGATTGATAATGTTTCAATAGGAGAATTAGGGAGAAAATTTCCCGAGAGAGAAATAAAGCAACACTTGATCTTTCCTGTGTGCCTTGGGTCAGTATGAGGCATGAAGACAGCACTTGGCAACCACTGGACTACAGAGGGCAGTTGCAGGCACGTGAAACCTTTAGAAAAACTAATTTAAAAAGCAGTCTTCAAATCCCAAATATTTGTGATATTGAACTGGCTTATACATGGCCTCGGCATTCTGTTAAGGGTGGTTTGCTGTACGTTCTTGCAACACTAATCCTATTCTATCTGTTGAATTTCATCAGATGTCTACTTGCTTTTAACTGAACACTAGCAATGTCATCTCAACAATATGAGTCTACGAAAGAAACCTGAGTAGTCAAGGCTGCCTCCATATTCATCACAATGGATACAAACCCCCAAATGGTCATGGCTTAGGAAATACATCTTTAAGGTGTCATTCTATTACCTAAATTCTTTTTACTTACTGTAAATGGAAAGAAGCATGAACAAATTTCATACTTCTCTTTAAAGACTCTGTCTTGTGGGCCTCCCTGGTGGCGCAGCGGTTGAGCGCTGGGCTGGGAAGCTGCCCGCAGCCTCTAAAGCACTGGTTCAATCCCCAGCTACTCCCTGGCCACCAGAGGAGGGTCCCACATGGCGCGCAGACCTCTCCTGCCCTCTCCTGCCGCCCGCTGCTCCCCTCAGCAGTGTACTTCGGTCCTTCTGCCTGCTCTGCTCCCCGCTCTGGCTCTGGTGAATTCTCTCACCCTCCCGCGCTTCTGACTGTACCCAGCCAGTGCTTGTATAAATAAATAAATAAATATTTAAAAAAAAATAAAGACTCTGTCTTGTAAAGCACAATTAGGAGTTTTAAATGGGAAGACAGACAGTACACAGAGACAGAAAATGTTATATTCAGTATTACTGTTACCATTTTCTGGAAAAAAAAAAACATGGCCTCTTGGGAAAATGTAATTAAAGACATGAAACAAGAGGAGATCATAGATTATTATACACCACACATGAAAATTAAAAATACAGTGATTTTATTTCCATCTCTAAGCATCAAATCTGGTAAGACTCTTCAATGCTATAAACACAAAAATATTTTGAAAGCATGTTACAAGTCAGTAATATGTAAGTAACCGTTTGGCAGAATTTTATCCACTCTAGTAGTTCACACTCCCTCAAAAAAAAAAAAAAAAAAGAATTTTAAAATTCAAAAAAAAAGAGTTAGCTTTATTTAACATATGTTACACCTTAACACTTAAAATACCATGCTCTAGTTAAATATTCCATCAACAACACTGTATACAAATAAAATATTACACAAAATATATTTAAGAAAATGTGTTGGTCTTTGATCTTAACAATAAATAAAAACACAGGCACTTCTACACTGAGACAGGGAAGCAGTCACTACTGAGAATAATTCTGTATAACAAATGTGAAATATGGCAAGAATAGAATCCTGGAGTTTTAAGCTGAAAAGGTGTGTAATGTCATTTAAATCTTTTCATTTAAAAGTTCAACAGTTACATATGCTTTCCTGGTACACATTGAAAAACCATAAATACAGTATTGTTGCCAGGGTCGATTCAATTTTCAGTTGGCCATTATGGAATTATACTCATTATTTTCCAAATACTAAAAATAGAAAACTATTATACCACGCAGCAAACCAAATATTAGAAAAGCTAAAGTTTCTCTTTATTAAGACCATAAAACAAAACAAGATAAACTGGATAAATGTCACACAGTGATTCTCACTCCGCAAAATTAACTAATCGGATTAAACAAAAAAATACTGTTCGTGTGGCAGGAATTTCAACATAATTCAGTATTTCTGACAATTTTAAAAATTCATCCAAACTTCATGAAAATAAATGTAGTTTTATTTCTCAAAACCACTTAATCATGCATAACAAACATTTTTTAGCCAACAGGTTGATGTCTACACTGGATCATTCAGTTATTACAATGGAAAGTAGGAATATGATCATGAGGGTAAAATAAGAATAACTTAAAATGGTTGAATGTCATGATTTTTAAATGTGAAGGGGGTCGAATTTCATGATTTTTAAAGAAAATAATGGCCAGTAGCCAGGAGGAAGGTTCAGAACAAAATGTCCCATCATATTGTCCATAAAAAATTATGATCTTCTGCTTTCCCTCTTCAGAAGGTACCGCATCGAAGGACTTAGAAGCCCTCAAATAGATAGTACTTATAAAGGCAATTCTGAAGGTTTAACACAGAAATTATCGCTAATGTAACAGAACACAACATGGGAACTACTCGGCTTATGTCTTTCTATGCAAATTTTAGTTTGTATACATTTCAGCATTTTAAATGAGCATTTTGCAACCGAGACCAAATATCAATCATCTCTTGAGGTTTTCTACTATGTACTAACATCAAATCTAAATAGGAACAAATGTTATTCTTGTTTTTCTCTTCTATATCAAATGTCTTGAAACCTTTGTGTTTCTCTGGAACGAGGCCGAGTTTCTGAAGGCACATCCCAGTATAAACGTCATCAATGGGGTAGAGAAGGACCCTGTCAGTCACATCATATAGCCGCAGGGCCAGGTGGCCAGAGTATAGGAACCCACCTCCCCCTGCATATGGTGGGTAGACGCCAGTGTAAACAACTTCTGGGATGTAGTACTTGAGTTTCTTATCCCGATGGGGTCCAGCATTGTGGATCACATCACCTATAAACAAATCTTTGGCTTTGTTCTTGGATAAGCTATTCAAGTAATTCAGGATGTGATGGGTATTCACAAAAACATCATCATCGCCCTTGAAAACAAACTCAGCATTTGGGCAGGATGTGCTCACCCACCTGAGAAAGAGCACTTCTTTGAGAGACAAGTTGAAGAAAGTATCTCTGTAGTTCCACATGAGAATGTCTTGATGCTTCTCACTCTCAAATTTCAGCATATCTGAAAGGTCAGGATGGTTGTCCTCTGGGGGGGTCTGCCCCAGTAAAAAGACTCGCACTACTGTTTGGTTCCCCACATTAGTTTCTCTGCCCCAAGATTCCCTAATTGCTTGCCTTCTAGCGAAATGTGGAGTGAGGGACTTAATTGCCAGCAGTAAGAAGGGTTTCTTCGCACACTTATCTGGCTGATCTATAAGCAATGAATAATTTCGACATCTCAAATACAGTAGAAAGTCTTTAAATCTGTCCGGCAAATTGTTGAAACCTGAAACTACTGACATGACCCTCAGGTCAGGCTCACAATAATTCAGATGGCTTGTATTAGAAAACCCATATACTTCGCCTGTCTGGTTGGCCAACATGTTCAAAATGGGATTGTACCTCCTGTTCAATTTTTCTTGTTCTCTGTTCCAATATGCTGCCGGAGGCTCAGATATCTTCCAGAACTTTTCTTTGGGTATTATTACTTCCCCCTTCCCATTTTTTTCTTGGCTACTGCTTTTGGAGACTTCCACAATCAAATAAATGAAGACATTTACCATCATCAGGATACCCAACAACTTTATTCTTCGACGTCCAACACTCATTTCTCATATCTAGAATAAAAGGGAAGAGCACTGTATTAATTAGGTAACAATAATTTGTACTTGCTCACATATCTTCATTTATGTCATGTGCCTCTTTGTTTTTGTCTCCCCTGGAACAATGGTTGAGAGCTGATTCTAGACTTGCATTGCTTAGGTTCAATCATGGTCCTACCCATTCTAGCTCTATGACCTCCAGGAAATTGTACTGAGGGTGCAAGTTCCCCAGCTATAAAATGGGGGTAACCCAACTCCACAGAATGATGAGGAGGGCTGCATGATTTTACATGTCAAGTTTTTAAAATCAGTGCCCAGACAAGAGCAAATGTTACGTGACTATTTCTTAGAAACCCCAAGGCAGAGAGACGCATTTATTAAATAACCTTACAGGGGTTTATACTTCCTCCCGTACAAAAACACGTATGAACTGCACTTTGCAAACTGATTTGTCTACAATTCATAGTAACAAATACATTTTATTTATACATTTTATATTGTGGTCAACTATATATATGTGCACACACAACTGTATTTTCATGTGTGTTGCAATGTGTGTAGTTCCATGTAATTCACTGATATTCTATTTTATTTTTTAAAAAATGGTAGTCCCAAGCCCAAACTGCTTCCCAATCCACCATTTTACTCATGAGGAAACCAAGGCAGAGAGATGCTTGCCCAGGGTTGCAGAGCTAGGAGAAAGAGGAGATACTAACCGCACAGAGCATTCACGGTTAAAATTAAAATGTATGAAAAGGCTTATGCCAGCTTTATTCCAACAGTCCAAATCATGTCAAGGAATATTCATCAACAAAACACCCCTCAATAAAAGGAAAACTTCCTACCAGCAACAACATTACAGCATGAGTCTAAGACACCCTAAATTCTATTATGTTAGGTTTTTTTTCATTTACAATGCCTTAGAAAATGGAAAGTGATGGGGGTTCTAAGACATATATACTACACACAACTTGAGGTGAATGAGGGTTTCATGGGTGTATACACTGTCAAAATTCAATTGTATACTTCAGATCGCTGGTGTTTATGGCAAAAATGGAAATAAGTAAAAATGGTATTTTAGTGAAATCTAAATTTTATGAACAGATTTCAAAGGTCATGAATAAATTTCCAGATGTGGGCAACAGAAGAAAGAGTACAAATGGCTTGCTGTGGCTTTAACTCCAAAATTCTAACACTACTGAAAAGGCATACCGGTATAAAAACCATTTAAATGAGCTTCATATCAAAAGACAACCCCAAAAAGTGGAATGGCAATAGAGCATAAAGGATTTTCTATTCAGTTGATGACTCCTTAGCAAAGAATCCCAGGGAAATCATGACCAGGCACTGTGTATTGTATTATTTGATATAGTAAGGAGGTTTTGTTACTTTTATTTTCACTTCACACCTCAGAAAACAGATTTAAAGAACTAACTACGTTAAGGGTAGAGCTGGAATCCCAAAGCAAAGGCGTTCCATGGCCACCATGTCTAAAGCAATCCATTCTTCTTCAACCTCTACAATAAAGTGTGAGTTTAATCAGGGTAGTGTTTACTTTTTTTAATATAAGAGGATTATTTTTAATTCACTTGGTTCTAACAAATAATCCCAAAGTAGAAGTATTTGACATGCTGAGAATGCTGTCAGGTTATTGTGTGTTGGCCAGCCTAGATAAGATGGAGAGGAATTCACAAATTGTTTTGTGTCTCCTAAAATCTGTGTAGCAGATCCTCATCTAGTTGCTTCTATTTATCACTTTTAAATAGCTTCAGTTATGGGCATATAAGTAAAAGGTGTTTGTTTAAAACATCTATCCTTACCCTATACCTCCACTTACCCAAAGCCTTTGCAAATCTAAAGAACATGGCAGATGATAAAGTTACGTAGGGGTGAGCTCTCAGTTCACCTAAGCAAGCAGGCTCTCACCACCAACTCATTTCTCTCCTTACTTCTCAACCACTATCCACTTCCACCCTTCAACAACCTCACCGCTGAGCTACCACGAAAGGGTATTCTTGAACTTCCTCCAAAGGAGACAGTAAAAAAGCAAAAGATATTTCTTACTCAACTACAGTTTTAAAGGGCCCCAAGTCACACACAACTGAATAATTTAAAACATCCACACCAACTCTAAGGAGGTGTGTAAACACCCTCCTTAGTCAGCGTCTTTCAACTGAGCTCCTGAGCAAATCAACGGTCCTAAATACACCTTCAGCAATCTAAACCCTATGGGCGTTACTTGCCAGGGCAAGAGAACACAAATGGACACGTAGGATATATTTTCATGGGTATCCGGTTCAGTTAAAGAGCTAAACATCTTTTTAGAAAATAAATCATATGTCTTTAGGAGTTTTCTTGTTTTGGGTTTCTGATTTCCAGATTTGAGACAAAACACTTTCTGAAAACAAAAGATTCTCTCTAACCTGGGATGACTCAGCTAATGCTAAAGTGGCGCTTGACCCTCTGGTGTTAGATCCTCCATGGGAGCAGAGTGAAAGAAGGCAATATGGAAGAGTGTGAGGGTGAATGGAGAAAGACTACAATAAGGAAAAAGACCTGGAAGGGGACTCAGGAAAAAACAGCACACACAATGAACAGCTAACTCCTTGGTTGAAATTTTCAACTCAGAAAAGGAGTATGTTATCAGTAAATTATTCCTAAGATTCTAGGGTAAAGAGAGCTGCTTAAGGAAGAAAGAAGGAAGCACACTACTTTACGCAGCAGGTTGTAAACCTCTAAGTTAAGTTTCCTAGGAAACAATCAAGGATGAATATGAGATGATTCCAGATATATGAGCTGGATTGCTCCAGGTTATGGGGCAAGGCTATGGATGCCTGAATTCTAGCCAGAACTGTCTGAAGTGATGGTTTGACATGTCTATCAGTGAAAACAGCAATTCTTAGGGTAATACATTAGACTTGCCCATCCCAACAAAGACTTCCAACATCATAGACTATATTTACTTCCTTGATTAAGACCCAGCCAGATTCTCCCATGATCTTGGCCAAGAGGGGCCCGTCAAGGCTCTCAAAGGAACCATCCTCACCTTATATGTGCTCAAGGATGCCAAGCTGAAGAGCATCTCCCTGCCTGTTTCTCATTTGTGCCCCCTAAGGGAAGTTGAGAGGATACCACTCTATCACTGAAAAAAATGGAGGCTCAGAGATTTTTAATGCGCCGCCTAAATGTTACGTAAATGTGGCAAAGTTGAGATGACAGAGGCTACTGGTGGCCAATTCAAAGCTCTCTGGAGCTCTTTTTTCTACAAGACACAGCCACATTCTTGTAACCTGGTCCAGGTCAACAATGACATCTCAAGTGCTGACTTAAGTCTGAAAAGATGTAAGGCATGTGGTCATGGAATGTTCACTAGTTAGCAAGACTCTCCAAAGAAGGGGAAATGTGAGTACCTAAAAGCTCCCAGCAACCCCTTCTAATAATAGGCCAACTATCCTTAAATGAGCACAAATTCCCAAATGCATAGCTTGGACTAACTCTTGCAACTATTTGCTACTGGGCATTTCTTCTAAGCCAACCTGAGGAGGAAGGGTGGGAAAACCAAGATTCTCCATTACACATTTCCATCAGGTTGAAATGTCACTTTCGTTTGTGACCTGGGCACAGCCCCTCTTATGAGAACTCTGATTTTGGCAGACACTTAGATGAAATTACAGTTCATGGAAAGGAGAATAAAGCAGTGACCCTCATAAAAATGTCTGTGGGAAAAAAAACCTCTGATTATCTGGCTAAACATTCCCACTGCAGACATAAAACCAATTCCATCCATATCCTTTTTTGAACAGGAAGTTACATTACTTAAAAAGAATTTGCATAAGTTTACCCCAAACCTGGGGAAAAAGTTACATAACCCTCACTTCAAAATTTATTTATTAACCCTCACATAATTTTTTATTATAACAGAAACACAATCCCATAGGCAAACAAAGAAGCACCCAAGCTGCTCATCTTGTGCTTGGGAGTAAAATCTTCCTAACAAGGACTGAGCAGTTCGGAAATTTCTAAAACACTTCAGCTGATTTTGTGTGTTTAACAAAAAATGACTTCACAATTAAAATATTTGGAAAGACAAGACTGTACTGGTTAGTTAAAAAGTGGATTACAAAACAGTACAGATGCTATAATCAAACTACGTGAAAACGCAGATAAAATACCACCCAAGATCAAAACCGGCTTAATCTGACAGTTTTTAATGCTGCTATACCATTTTTGACTTTGAACAGCCTCCGCTGCTCACATCTGGACTCTCTGGGATGGGAACGGGGAACACATCAGAAAAAAACCCTAACTCTGGGTTCCCATTTCTGCAGTACATGTCACTGGCCTCACTGTTCCCTCCAGATACCACATCACTGTACTGGACTCCTCAGTGTTCAGCAGAGGCTGTCACAACAGCCATCCCTATGTCACCTACACACCTTTCCCAGGGCCCATGCCTACTGTCTGCCTGAAGTCAGCTATTAGAAAAGACTCCAAAAAATAAAATATGAACACATCTGCTTTAAAACTCTGTTACCATCCACTATGTGCCAAGCACCAGCAGTCCTATGCTGACAGTGGTGATTTAATTTGCCCAAGGTAACACAGCCAGTACATGACAGGATTCAAACACAGCTAGTCAGCTCCAGTCTTAAGTTTTAAACCATGTCACATAAAACTACTATGAGTCCAAGGCAGATATGGGAAGCAGGATATCATAAGTAATGTTTATTGAATAACTTAACTAAATTCCAGGCAAAGTACCTTACACTTCATTTCCTAACATGTAGTCCAAACAATCCCAACATTTCATTCAGACATCTGTCTGACAAGGCACTGCTGAACTGAAACATCCTAAAAGGACGCCTGTGGTTCTCAAAGGCCTATGAAGACTGAAGCCAAGCGTTGGCCAGAAGACAATGTGACGTGGCCATCAATAGCCACAAGGACTCACTCACAAAAAAGAGTCAAGGACTAACCCTCCACCCCCACAGGACTCTGACAGGTTAGGGACGTGG